CCTTACTCCTTGTAGTAAGTTGTAGACGTTTTTGTGTCAATATATCACACTCAAATGGTCAGTAGGACTTTAAGAAAAAGAAAGAAAATGTATAGAAATGAATCTTCACCCACTATCCTTTACAGAGGTTAATTTAGAATGTAATACTAATAAAATGCTCTGACCCAGAGCTCTGATGAGGAGGAGAGGAGGGGAAGGGGTGTGGCAAAAGAGCTGACATTGATTCAACATTGATTCAACATTGATCAGTCGTTGATCAGACATTAGCATTTCATTCATTAGATTTCAACCACAAAACAACATTGACTCAATGACACAGTTTCAACATTGGTTACTTGGCTGGAGGTGGATGGTTGTTTGATGGTTGATCAACCGTCAGTTGTTGACCTCAACCAAAAATCAACCATTCTAACTATTTTTCAACGTTGATTTAACATCATGTGCTATCTGGGCTGTCCACCTGTCCACCTGTCCACCTGTCCTCAGTACGTCTCAGTCAGAACCAGGACGACCCGTCTGGTTACTCCTGGTGACCCGGTTCTCCTGGTTCTGAGGAGCCCAGTAGAACCCTGACCTCTCCACCTGTTCAGGTAAAGGCCTCGTCCTGGAGATCCCGGCCCTTCCTGTCAGAGCAGGATGTGGTGTCACGCTGCGCTGCAGACGCAGTAACGGTGACATCACTGCGGCGTTCTTCTTTGTGGGTCAGCGGCGGCTGGGATCCGGACCGGAGCTGGTTCTGCAGCCGGTCCGCCGGGCCGATGAAGGCTCTTATTGGTGTTCCACAGACCGGTTTGGGAGGTCTCCTCTCAGCTTGCTGCGGGTCACAGGTCAGCCAGTGACATCACTTCCTGTTTCCAGAGCTGAGCAGATAAAGCAGCTTCCTTCCTCTCTCTGCAGGTCCTCCTCTTCCTCACTCCACCACTCCTCCTCCTCCTCCTCTGGTGTCGGGTCCAGCCCGTCCTACAGGTTCTCCTCCTCCTCTTCCTCAGGCCTGCGTCTCGGTTCCTCGCCTGCTCTGCCACCTGCTGGTCATCTGTCCGTACTGCGCCTGCAGCGTCCTGCTGCTGCTCAGGTGCTGCAGCAGGAAGTCAGGTGGAGCTCCGCCCCCTCACCTGGCCTTCCTGGCTCCGCCCACAGGATCCCAACCCGCAGTCGCCATGGAGACCACGCAGCCTGCAGAGCTGGACCGCGTCACCACGGAGCACGACTTCTGAAACTGGACCCTCCAGAACCACCGACCAGGTTCTGGTACCAAACACCTGGACCTGGTACCAAAGATCTGGACCTGGTACCAAAGATCTGGACCTGGTACCAGCTGTTGAAAATAATTCTGCCAGTTTAATGATGTTTAGCTTTATTTCATGGTGAAACATTAAATGGATCCTGATTGTTTTGGGCCTCAGTTTAATTAGATTCAGACTCAGAGTTTAATCAATACATAACTTAATCAATAGAACATTTTCTTAGACATAATGATGACGATTTGATTAAAATTAGTCTTAATAATCAATAAATCATATATTCATCTGAAAATGTTTAGTTCATTATGACCAGGAAACTAAACAGATCATATTGACTGTAACATGTATTGAAACTGTTCATGTCTGTTTTATCAGTTTGAAGATATTATATGAAATGTGTTAATTTTTATAATCAAATCTGCTGATTGATCCTGGTCAGAGGTCAGAGGTCAGCAAAGCTCTGTGGGTTCAGGAACCAGTTTGAAATGAGAAGCTGATAAACTGAAATGAACATCTATTGATCTCCTTCATGTCTTTAAATGATCCTCATGTTGCTCCAAAACCCTCAAAGCTTTGGCTGAACGTCTGTCATTTGGGACGCCTGACGTAGAAACGATGACCTAGAGACAGCGAGTGGATCCAGCAGGTTGGCAGGGTTTCAGAAGGGGTTGCCATGGTTACACGTTTCCAAACGGGCCTCATGCAGTGATGGACAACCATGACCATCAGTGGACCTGAAGACCTGGACCTGTCCGAGTCCAGGCTGGTTGGATGTAGATGTAGAGCGTGTAAAACAGTATTTCTCAACCTTTTTTGTGCCAGCGCCCCCCCAGCCTTCATTCAGGCCCCCCACCAAAGAATTTGTAGGCTACTTTGCACTGACTATTATTTTATCATTAATA